AGCAGAGACAGTCCCCAAATATTCACCTGATGGTGTAGGATGTCCAGTCACACATACTTGCTGAGCCCTGGGCATTGATGTCTTGTGCCTGGGAAAGACCAGTGAAAACCCAACCCCCCCCCCCCCCCCCCCCCGTGTTCATATGTAAAATGGTAGGATGTGGTACCCACCCTGCCTCAGAGAATTGTGGTTCGAGAAAGGCCTTTGTCAACAGAAGTCGGCCATCAGAAAGGATCAGTCAGCATCCGAAGTGTGTCGGGAAACAGCACACGGAGTACCTTCCCGAGGGCTGGGGGAGAGCGACAGGTGCTCCATGTGAAGGAACCCACTGGGGGTTTTTCCCATGCTCTGTGTTTGGTGTTTGGTGGCTCCTGGATGCCAAAAGGACCAATTGGGCTGGATCCCAGGTGCGCTGTGGACCGGCAGTTACAGGATTCTAGGAGGGGAATGCAGGGCTCCAGCGTGCAAGGTGGCATAGTGAGGGCACTGTGTGTATTGAGACAAAGGTCAGAGTGAGTCAGTACATGGGCAATTGGGTTTAAGATCAAAGACAATTTGAGCCCGTGGACTCCCCTAGATGCAGGCAGACGGCTTCAGCTGTGGAGAGTGGGGTGCCAAGGTTCTCTCTCGTCCCCTCGCTGATTCCACTTCAGATCAAAAAAACAGGTCGGCTTCCCCCAAGGGATCCAAGCAGAGTGAGTGGCCAGGCCCCTGTTGCCATGGCTCAGAGGCCCTTGAATGCCCTCTTTGTCTGGCTCCTTACAGCCAGGCATGGTTCAGGGGTCCGGGAGGAAAAGCTGAAATGTGAGAGGCCGAGCTTTTGTGCTTTAGGTTTATTTTGGGATAATGATAAAGGACATGAATCCCAAGGGATGCTAATAAAGCCAGGCCGTGTTCGATGTCTGAATGGGAGCCCAGAACAGCTCCCAGGGAACGTTTCCAGGCGGGTGGTAGAGAAGGTGAAGAGGGAGAGGAGACACAGAGCACCGGACAGGACGAGACACAGGTTCCAGAGCTCGGCCAGGATGACGAGGGGCGTCCTGTGTGGGCACGAGTGGGAGAGGGGGGCTGCTCACCCTGGAGTTCCTGATGGGGAGGGAGTGGAGAAAATACGGAGGATACGGTGTTCTTCCCATTGAAGACATTGGAGGTCATTTACAAAGTCCGAATGTCTGTTTTGAACAGGGAGTGCAGGGTGGCTAAACGTGAGTGGTACACTTTCCAGTGCACAGCCCTAAGGACCTGTCTGTGCCCC